GCACAGAAAACAAACTCTTGGAAATAATTCTGCAATAGTATTGGTAAAGAAAAACCATGGTCATTTCCCTACAAATTTGTAACCAGCAGAGTAAGACTTCCTACAAAGCTAGAAACAATAGATAAACCAGATGGTTCCCATACAACTGATCTCTAAGACACACTTAACTATCTCATTAACAAACTCCTTCCATCTGATGAACTAGAAAATGAGACTGAATACCACGAAAATGTAAGATCAACAGCTAACGTGACCCACGGAACTGCAGTAGATGACCCATTAACCGAATTAGAAATTGATGATGTCATAAACAACTTACATGACAATAAAGCACCAGGTATTGATGGGATCTCGCCTAAAATCTTCAAAAATGTCTTAAACTATGTAAACTACTTCCAAAATTTATCACCGAACTATATAAGAAATGCTTCATTACAGCCTTGTTAACTAAACCTTGGAAAGTTTCTAAAATAGTTCCTATTCCTAAAAGGACTGATAATAAGCAGTTCAGGCTGATTTCACTCATTCCCGTGGCAGGTAAAATTATGGAAAAACTTACAGCCTCTCGCTTGACACTACATCTGACAAGGAACTCCCCTCTCAACGACAACCAATTTGGTTTTACTCCGCAAAAAAAATACAATTGGGGCTTTATACAAGCTTGTAAATTTCGTTGAAGCCTCCTTTCAATTGAAATTGAACGTCCTTGCCGTGTTACTGGACATTAAAGGTGCTTTTGACCATGCCTGGAGGCCATCAATCTTACAAGCATTACATGAGAGATCTTGGCCTCAAAATATTTATTTAATAATACAAAATTATTTATCTGAGAGAAGTCACATGCAGGTAGGAGACACGTGTTCTAGTAAGTGGTACACCGCAGGGCTCATGCTGCTCTCCCCTTCTATGGAACATTATTATGGATAACATTTTCAAGACCGTCACTACGGATGAAGCTGAGATAATCTTATTCGCAGATGATATGCTAATACTTTTTAAATCAAATTGTTCTATCAATTACAGGTACAGTGTAATGAGGTCTTACACAAACTGGCTATTTGGGCACAAAATAAAATGCTGACGTTCCAACCCGAAAAAACGAAATATATATAATATTCTCTAGAAAGCAACAAACCCCCAACATGAATATTATATTAAATGATGAAAAGATATGTCAAGTGAACCAAATAAAATACCTAGGCTTAACACTAGAAAGAAAGTTAAATTGGGGCCAACATATCATCAACCTCAAAAATAGATTGCTGAAAATCGTCCACGGACTCTCAAAAACTGCAACAGTCACCTGGGGCCTAAATTCAGAAGTTTTAACAATATACAAAGCGGCGATACAACCAACCATGACATATGCAATAGAAATCTAGCACAAAGGACTCTCAACTAAAAGAAACTTGAAAATACTTGAATCCGTTCAAAGATTGTTGGCCATCAAAATAATTAAAGGCTATAGAACAATATCATATGACGCATCATGCCTACTAGCAAATATTGTTCCGATTTCCCTCCTAACCAAAGAAATAATTCACAATTTTAAATTGATCAAACTTAAATAAAACATTGTTGACTTTCCAATAAATGACATTGAAGAAACAATTCCGTACAAATGTTGGATACATCCTAAAGAACTCATGAGGCCCGATGTAACAGAAATAGAACGGCACTCTTCTATCAATATTTTTACGGACGGCAGTAAGGACCAGGACAAGGTAGGAGCTGCTATTGTAGTCTTCGACGGAGGACAGCTACTACATACACAGCATTTCAGGCTAGGACCTTACTGTTGAAACAACTAGACAGAATCTCTTGCTATGTTACAGGCCATACTCTATATTAAGAACTCTGACAAGACTAATTAATGCATACATACTGATAGTAAAATCACAATACATAAACTAAAGAACATAAACATACATGAAAACCTTGTCTAGGAGATCAGGCGAGCGTTGATCTGTTGCTACAACGAAGGCATAAATATTTCTTTTAAATGGGTAAAGGCACATGCTGGCATTTTGGGGAACGAGCTAGTGGAGAAGCGGCTAAGGCTGCACTCCCTATAATATTCAACAAGGCACCGGCCAGCGCGGTTAAACACTTTCTAAGAACAGCAACAAGACAAGCGTGAGACCAAATCTGGGTGACATCAACAAAAGGCAGACACAATTACGACTACATTAAAAATTTAGGAGAAAGAATCAAACTTAAAAAATTATCACCTAAACTAGTACAATTTTTGACAGGACACGGAGCAGCCAAATGCTGTTATTCAGATTCAAGTTAACTGACAACAAAATTTGCAAATGCGACGGCAACAGTGAGCAAACATACAAACATTTCTAAGAACAGCAACAAGACAAGCGTGAGACCAAATCTGGGTGACATCAACAAAAGGCAGACACAATTACGACTACATTAAAAATTTAGGAGAAAGAATCAAACTTAAAAAATTATCACCTAAACTAGTACAATTTTTGACAGGACACGGAGCAGCCAAATGCTGTTATTCAGATTCAAGTTAACTGACAACAAAATTTGCAAATGCGACGGCAACAGTGAGCAAACATACAAACATTTCTAAGAACAGCAACAAGACAAGCGTGAGACCAAATCTGGGTGACATCAACAAAAGGCAGACACAATTACGACTACATTAAAAATTTAGGAGAAAGAATCAAACTTAAAAAATTATCACCTAAACTAGTACAATTTTTGACAGGACACGGAGCAGCCAAATGCTGTTATTCAGATTCAAGTTAACTGACAACAAAATTTGCAAATGCGACGGCAACAGTGAGCAAACATACAAACATTTCTAAGAACAGCAACAAGACAAGCGTGAGACCAAATCTGGGTGACATCAACAAAAGGCAGACACAATTACGACTACATTAAAAATTTAGGAGAAAGAATCAAACTTAAAAAATTATCACCTAAACTAGTACAATTTTTGACAGGACACGGAGCAGCCAAATGCTGTTATTCAGATTCAAGTTAACTGACAACAAAATTTGCAAATGGGACGGCAACAGTGAGCAAACATACATCCACCTCCTGTATGACTGCACTAGACTGGATAAATACAGATACAAATTGTTCTCTGCTATCATGGTGAACGGAGACCAATGGCCGCCTTCAAAGAAGGATCTGATTGAAAAATATTTCTCAGAATTTGATGCATTTGTGGAACGAATCGATTTCTCTGAGCTTAATGATCAAATGGCTGCCTAATCACCCCTCAACATTTCCTACATCAATTGTTATACCAAATCGTACATACTCTGTAAATATAGCCTTAAATCCTCAATTTCTATCCTAAATCTTTAACCTTTGTTTTTATCTTACCATATCACATTTCTGCTGTAAATATTCTACTTTTCACTTTCTAATCTTTAATGTATCACTATTGTTTATCATTTCAGTTATTGTATGTTATATTTAATTATTAACTTAGATTACTATAATTTGTTATATACATTTATTTATTTTATGTTCTAATTATTGAAAGAATTGTAATATATAATTACTATGTAACTTAAACTAACTATGTATCTCAATACACCTTATGTCGCAAGATGGTACGCGTAGAAATATATGCAACCATTACAGGATTACTGTAATGTGGGGAAAAAACTGTATAAAAGATTTTTTTATGATTTGGATAACAAATAATCTGGAGTGATCTATTATCTTTTCATTTTTTATTCGGTTTTTCAATAGAAGTTGGAATAATTGAATTTATGATTTATTTTAGCAAGCCTTTTTTAGAATCGCGCAATCGTTTATCTAGTTTATGTAAGTTTTTGGATTTCTAATAATACGAGGGTCCACTATTTTCTACTGGGAGGAGCTTTCTATGCATATACTGTCTGATTTGAGTTGAATATCAAGTTTATGTAACTTTTTTGAATTCTTAAATATACGGATCCACTATTTTCTAGTCGTCGGAGCTTTTTATGAATATACTGTCGAATTTAAAATTGTTTGTCGATTTTTTCTAGATTTTTGGATTTCTTAAATATAAGAAGTCCACTATTAAATTGTCAAGAACGCTTTTTATGAAAATAATGTCGAATAAAGATTGTGCGAGAAAAGTGTACAATATTAATAAATAAAATGTATCTATTAATCGTTATATAGATAAATATTGATTCCAAAAATGTCCAATCCCAACAAGACTCGTAGATCTGCCGGTTAGTTAACTGTTAACTTAAAATTTGTTTTTTCATTTTAATCGCTATTATTTTTATTGAATGAATAAGCTGTGTAATTATTATTATTAGCAGTTATTTTTCTTGGTAATCTGAAAATGGGGATTATTGTAGTCATTCTACAAAAAAAAAAAAAAATTGTGTTTATAATCGAGAAAGGAATTAAGGTATTGGGGAAACAACTGACGAAGAATATCTGATAATTCCGAGGTAATGAATAATGGAAATGATTAATAAGAAAAATAATATCGTAAATAGCATTCAAAGATGTAATAATTAAAGGTTTTTATCTATTACTATTTATTTTTCACAGATCTATGATACATGTCTAAGTTCGATTAAAGTTATATAATGTAGCCCAAATTTCAAATATAAGTCGGCTCCTGCTCTAAAACTGAACATGGTTAAAGTTGTAGAAGTACTTAAATGGCGGGGAAGTTAATAGTAATTGAATCAAGAGATCGGTCTTCTTCATTCTCTTTCGGATAAACCCGAACGCATTCGGCAATCCATGAACAAGTGTGATCGAAGTGATTGTGAACCACGCATAATCCGTGCGGAACTCGTGTGAACTAGTACCAAGTCATTAATAAAAACAGTAGATAGATTATAGAATAAAATTTATTCTTTGTATGAAAAAAACATGTTTTATTTCACCCTTCGAAAACTGAACAAATTTATGGATCAACCCAATATATAATTCAACAAGATAAAAAATATTACATAATATTAGAGAAAATAATAGCTAATTATAATAAAATATACTTCATTACTTACATATATTGAATCAATTTCATCAACTGTTTGATGAATTATATTGACTGACATCCATCGTTTTTCTACATAAACTTCAACCCAATGATCCAATTTGACATTTTTACGTTTGATAGCTTCAACAAGAACAGTTTTATACTTCTTCATTATCATCTTTTCTTTTTCTAAACGAGAGATAGGGACAGGATTGTTCAAATGCTCAACAGCTTCAGGTGATAATAAATCTTTTCCTTTTTTAGAGCGTACAAACCCTTTCCCTTTTTTCAATGTAACCAAATGGTCACAAAAAGCATCAAAATCATCTTCATTTGAAGAATTACTGTCTTTTTCAAAATCATCAACATTGATAGGATATGGCTGTAATGACATCACAAATCTGGCATTAAAACCTAATGCTCGCAACATGGATACAAAAAGCATAACGTAATCCCGAAGACAAATAACTCTCCTATTCTGGAAAACTGATTCAAAGTTCTTGTAGTCTAATATCCCTTCTAGTTTGACATCAGATAATACAAATACACATCGATACCACTCTAACAAGTCTAAAAAGTAGTCTGAATCAATAGGACCACTTGGTATCAAAGGGCATGGGACTAAAGATAACATTGCAGCTTTGATAAAATCATCATTAATGATAGTATTTATCCTGTTTCCGTATGCTAGAAGGCATAGTATATTAACCTTATGCATCCAGATACGATTTTCTCTGGAAAACAACAACATGTCTTTATACATAACTTCCTTACTATCTTTCTTCTTATCATTATTTAAAGAAGAGGGATACTTATCATTAACTCTTGGGGTCCATTTTCTTTTTTTAAGGTTAGTGCCACAACCAGAAGTACTAGGAGCATCATTTTGAGATTCAGATCGAGAGGAGGGCCCTGGTTGTGGATATTGTGCTACTGAACGTTCTGGATAATCCTTACTACAATGCCCTTCTTTAACAAAGTAGTAGCCCGATGTGCTGGGCATATCAATCCCTCGCGTACCTCTAATAACACTCATATTCAAAAAAAATTATAATAGGCACTGAAACACACCACCCCAACAACCAAACAAACAAAACCTCAACAAGTTTATCTAAATCAAACCATAACCGCTTTCAGGAACTACTCCTACCCTACTCGATAGCTGTTATCGACATTTGCAGGAAATTAAACTTGGAGGATGAAATATAAATGTCGCATTCAACATGTGAGAATAATAACATTAAAATTAGGAGTTAATTTTCTCTATCCAATAGAAATTAGATGATACTTCTAAGAATAAAGTACTAGTTTTTTATAGTTACGAAATAGATGGTATAGGCATAAATTAACTTTAATATAGAATATTGTTATAAGGTTGATATCACTAGCGAATCCAGCGGGCGGTAACTTAAAGAAAAGAGAAATATAGGAAAAATTCATCCTCATAGACAAATTTCATAATTTAATAAAAAACAAAATTATTATCGTGACCAGCACAAGCGAATTCTGCTTGGGGCGCTCCCTTCCTTGGATGATGGAAAAATAATTTCGAAAAAAAGTATTTAAAGAAAAGAGAAATATATATTAAAAAATCATCTTCTAAGACGAATTTTCTAATGTGATATAAATAAAATTATTATCGTGATCAGAACTACCGGATCTAGGGGGGGCGCGTGCCTCTCTCCCCTAGATGGTGAGAAAAAAGTTCCAGAATATTTTAATGTAATCATCATCAAGATCTCGACAATCCAATGCTGGACCTTGGCTGGCTCAAGAGTTTTCCTCCATGTTTCCCTGTCCTGACTACTCAGGAACCGTCCACCAGTTCCTGATTCCAAGGATTCTAGCATCAGCACTTACTCGATTTTCCGTCTCAGTTTCGATCTGCCCACTTTTCTTTTTCCACCCAGCTCCATGGTGAGCAGCTTCTTTGATGTTGATGAGGTCTCGTTCATCCGTACAACGTGGCCCGCCCACCACAGCCTTGCTATCCGGATATACTTCACCACCTGCGGCTTCTGGTATAAGTCGGGTAGTTCTTGGTTATGTCTAATTCTCCATTTATCATTCTCCTTAACTGAGCCAAATACCTTCCTCAGTGACGGATGTTTCATATCATATATGTCAAAACCAGTAGTATAAGGACTTTATACAGGAGAAGTTTAGTTAATCGTAGTAGTAAAAGAAATTTTTAATGTGATATAAAAAATTATTATTGTCGTGACTACATACTGGCGGATCCAGCCGGGAGGCGCACCCCTCTCCCTCTTGAATGTAAAAGAAAAGAGTTCGAAAAATTAGCTGTTAAATGAAAAGAGAACTATAGGGAAAATTCATCCTCATAGACGAATATTTTAATGTAATCTATAAATAAAATTATTGTTGTGACCAGCACTAGCGAATTCTGTCAGGGGGCGTCCCTCCTGGGTGGTATACACTAATTCCGAAAAAGTTCCAAAAAGCAGCTTTTTAAAGAAAAGAGAAATATAAGGAGAATTCATCCTCATAGACGATTTTTTAAATGTAATATTAAAAAAAATATATTACAATGACCATTTTTATTAATCTTACGGTTTGTCATATCAGGTCACCTAAGGTGTGAATCAACTCGCGCCCGGCCTTTGGCGCTCGGCGAGATTTTGTGAAATAAAGAATAGAATATAAGAGCAAAACTTGGCTCTTTGGGTGAAGTGATGAAGGTTTTGGGCCTCTGTGAGCTGCGAAGGTTTGTGCTCCTGTCGCAGTCTGTTCCTACTGACTCCGAACTAAGCCTCGCAGGTGAAATATATGTTGGAGATAAATTATTTTTTTTTTAAATTGAATTTTATTTATTCCTTCAAACAATCTTTTATAAGAGCACAAGAAGATACGGTTTTTCTCTCGGACCCAGTTTTTATTTAGTTCCAATAGATATGGACGCATTGCGACCTCCAGCAACTATGGTATCCTTGAAGAATCCATACAATTCATAAAACTGATCACGATAGTAATTTGTATATTTCTTATCAGAAAGTGTTTTTCTTTTTTTTAAATAGCTGCTGTTGGAAACTTTTTCATGAGGGAAGGTACTAATTATTTGGTCTCCGATATGAAATATCGAATATGTTTTTCGCTTCGATGCACTGTTTATTAGTAATAGATGAAAAAAAGATCGGATAAATCTGTTTTTTTTTGCCTGTAAAAAGTTTTCCATTGGCGATCCGTGTTAGCAATTTTGTTTTTTACATGTCTAAACCCATATACAGCTTGCCCCGTAAGTAGAGGAAATATTTAAAGGACTGATACAAGAACTTAAGAGCTACAAAAAAAGTTCATATAAACAATGGTTCGATTTTCAGCAGGAAATTAAAGTTTTGTAGTCATATTAATGTAAGTCACTTTTTTTGTTGAATAGGAAGTGATAACTAAAAACATTTAATTTAAGTAATTAATGATTGCTTCACTGTAAACGAGACAAAATTTACTTTTAACAAAAATAGAGTTTGGGTAGGTAATGGGATTAGGTGATAGGAGAGGGGTTGGTGTACAATCGGCATGCGTTCTACCGTCAGGATGGCCAATACGATATGTCAAGTATTGTGGTATTTTGATGAGCTCTTTAGTGGTTTGCCGAATTTCTGTGATTAGTGCCACGTCAATCTTCTTATCAAGTAATAAAGCAGATAGTTCGTCGGTATGATTTCTAACACCATTCGCATTCCAAAGGAGAATGGATACAGGTTGATTGTAAGTCATTTAAGGGTGGTATTATTATTATTGGTAGTGTAAAATTACGAAGGATTTTCAGAGCCAGCCACATTGAGCATGGTGGGAATCATACATAATTTGGTTTCTAGCTCAATGATTTTATTTAACAGAGAATCTACAATTGTTGTTAACTTGTCTATTTGTGCGTTTTGGGAAGAATTTGAAGAATTTAATACTTACGAACAGGTTTCCCTAGAGTCCGAGATTGTATGAATTATCGCTTCGACCTTCTTTTATCTGCAGAACCCGTTCAGTAACTTTTACTGTTTGGATCTGATTTTATTTTTAAAAATATGGGCAGGAGCGAGACCGCGCTTGATTTGACCCTAAGCAGTTTATAAATTTAATATCACTACAGGAAGGCAGTGGATCAGCTGATGAGAAGGTTGTCTCCTCAACTCCTCTCTCAGTTTTTACCAATTTTATAGCGGAATCTCTCTGATTATTCACGTGATACAGTTAAAGTGTATATCAGAGCAGTTGATATTTACTGTTGGCATCTTTTTTTTTGTTATTTTAAGAAAAAAAAAAAAAAAAAATTTTTTTTTTTTTTTTTTTATTTATTTATTTATTTTTCTCTTATGATATGCGGTATGATCAGCAAGTGATGGCCAGTAAGGTGCCCAAGAGGTCTCGGTCAGACGGAGTTAGCTCACCAGCCAAACAAAGGACTCGTCGCTGCCTACGAGAAATACCTCCAGTGACCAAAATGAACACTTCAGAACCAGAACCTCAGCCCCAACCAGGTACGTCTGCACAAGAAACGATTGAAGAATCACCTTTCTTTACTCCAAACCCCTACCAAGTGCTTCAAAATGACAAAGAAGTAATGGAGTCTGCAGCAATACCCAGAGAACCAAAGCCTCCTCCGATATTTGTGAAAAATATAAAAAATTTCCAGATGTTCTGCACCCAACTAAATAAAATCTGCTCTGGCAGTTATTCATGCCTTAACAGGACCAATGACACCAAGATAACACCTGATTCTGCAGAAGCCTACCGAAAAATAGTGAAGTACTTATCAGAAACAAATGCGAATTTTCACACTTACCAGCTGAGGCAGGAAAGAGCTTTACGAGTGGTGATAAGAAATTTACATTCCTCAACCCCCACTGAAGTTATTAAAGAAGAACTAACGACGCTTGGTTTCAATGTACGCCAGGTAACAAACGTTTTGAAGGAGGACAGGGAGCAGCCAGGATTACGAAATAGGATCCCACTACCATTGTTTTTCGTGGACTTGGAGCCATCACCAGGTATCGAAAAAATATATGATATCACAAGAATATACTATACAATGGTGAAAGTTGAGAAGCCATATCCCAAGAGAGACATCGTGCAGTGCCATAATTGTCAGACCTATGGCCACACGAAGACATATTGCCACCATCTGCCGCGTTGCGTGAAGTGCGGTGAACAGCACAAATCTGTAGAGTGCACCAAACCTATACAAGATCCAGCAGTATGTGCCCTATGCTTGGAGGGACACCCGGCCAACTACAAAGGCTGCCAAATTTACAAGAATCTCAAAACCAGACACCAGAAAAACCGGATTCAAGATGAAGCACTAAGAACAAGAAGAGAGAGAGAGCCTTCCAGAATTGTAAACAATGATGTATCATTCTCCCAACTACTTAGAGGTAAGACTTTAACCGATAAATGTCAAGCCCTGCCACAACAACAACCTCAAACCCAACCTCAAAATCCTCTTCATCCTAATATACCTAACCACCAACAACAAATTCCTCATATTCCTCCTCCTTCAAATGCAACAGATCTCACAAGTTTGTTAGCATCTTTCCTCACCGATTTCAAATCCCTTGTTACTCCACTCATATCACTCCTCACGAATCTCGTATCTCACCTCATCCCTCCTTTGAAAAATCCTTAAATGACTCACATCCCTAAACCCATATCCATTCTCCTTTGGAATGCGAATGGTGTTAGAAATCATACAGACGAACTATCTACTTTACTACTTGACAAGAACATTGATGTGGCACTAATTACTGAAACTCGACTAACCACTAAACAGCACTTCAATATACCACAATACCTGACATATCGTACTGACCACCCTGACGGAAAAGCACATGCCGGTACTGCTGTAATTGTACACCAATCCCTCTCCCATCCTACTCCCATTACCAATACATGATTTCCTACAGTCCACCGCTATCGTGATAAAAACCTTCTCCTTTCCGGTCACTCTTGCATCAGCGTATTGCCCTCCTAACCGATCCATATCCAATGCCCAATTCAGTTCTCTCCTCGACTCCTTAGGACATCACTTCATCTTGGGTGCAGACCTAAATGCCAAGCACCAACAATGGGGTTCCAGAACCACGAATTCTCGTGGCCGAACCCTGCTGTCTGCACTCAATTCCCAACGTTTTCACCTCCTTTCCCCCAACTCTCCTACCTACTGGCCCACAGATCCCAAC